CCTCATGCTAATAACCACTGTCTTTGCTCCTCTCCTGAGTGCTGCTCTTACCATGTGGGACATCATTCATTGAAAAGCATTCTTCTCAACACTGCAAATATTCAAGTATTAGGAAATAGTCTTGCCTCGTAGCTTACAGCAAGGGATGAGATTACATAATGCCCATGTGCACATGATGACATCCAGACCAGGCTCCCTCCCTGGGGACACATGTTCACACATGGTGCCAGAGTCATAGGTCTTTCTGTAATGGGAGGTTTTCTATGTATGAAGCTAAGACATACATTTTTTCATACAATGATTTATTCTTGAGACAGCAGCACTTTTAGAAAATAGTTTTTGTAATAGCTGAAGTTTTGATAACCATAATATAGTACACATTTATTAGTTTATGCAAACTTTTGAATCATCTATTGGATTATTTAATAAAATATAGAATCATAGTGTTCTGAATAGATGTTTCTATTTAGTAAATGTGGACAGTGTTTATATTTTATACTATTAAATATGTGTATCCAGGAGCCTGAGATCCTTCTTTTTTTTTTTTTTTTGGTCCTTCTTTATTAAAGTTATTAAAGTGTAATCTTTTAAAAAATTTTTTTAGATGTTGATGGACTTTTATTTTATTCATTTATTTATATGTGATGCTGAGAATTGAACCCAGTGCCTCACACATACCGGGCCCCAGCCTTAAGGTGTGGTCTTATGTTCTTCTATAAAATGTTATAGTTTTCTTCTGAAAGGTCTTGCACTGCTCTTGATTTTTCATTTCTAGATATAATTTTAGAACTTCTATGAGGCATAATTTGCTATCTATAGTTCTGCAAACATCTCCTTATATCAATTTTAAAACTTGCTCACTTCCCAAAAAGTTCTTTCATGCCCATTATAGCTAAATTCCATCCTAAAATCTAGGCAACCTCCTTCCGTCTCTACAGATTTGCCTTTTCTGGACATTTCATATCAGTGGCACCATCCGTATATATAATCTCTGGCTTCTTTCAGTGAGCATGATGTTCGGAGGCTCACGTGTATTGTAGTGTTTATCAGTAGTTTGCTCCTTTTTTTAATGCTGAATAGTATTCTGGTGTGGCTATACCACACTTTTTTTTTTAATCCATTCAACAGTTGATGAATATCTGAATCAGCTTTTCATCACTGTGACAAAAATAGCTGACAAGAACCATTTAGAGGAGGAAGGGTTTATTACAGCTCTGGTTTCAGAGGTTTAGACCATGGTGGGCCAGCTACATTGCTGTGGTCCTAGATGAAGCAGAACATCAAGTTCTGAGGTCACGGTGAAGCAAAGCTGCTCATATGACAGCTGGGAAGCAGAGAGAGCCTGAGGCACAAGAGACAAAGTACAACCCCCACAGTCACACTGCAGGGACTACTTCCCACCTGCCTACAGTGACCACCAGTACAGAAGTCCTTTCAAATTAATAATTCATCAAGTGGATTAACCCACGGATTAGTTACAGTTCTCATAACCTAATCATTTCATCTCTAAATATTTCTACATTGACTCAAACATGAGCTTTCAGGGAACACCTTATATCCAAACCGTGACAGTGGACATTTGGGTTGTTTCCGACTTCTACTGTGAATAATGTTGCTATGAGTGTTTGTACACACATTTTATGGAGACAGATGCTTCCATTTCTCTGGGTGGCAGATTTCTAGGAGTAAAAATCCTGAGTTGAACAATAATTTTAAGAAACTGTCAAACAGTTTTCCAATGTGATATACTGTTTTACAACTTCACAAGCAATGTACGAGGTTTCAAGTTTCTTTACATGCTTATAAACCCTGGGTACTGATGTCATTTTATTATCACCATTCTAGTTGGTCTGTAAGTGCATAACAATTTACCCTCAAACTTGGTGACTTAAGATAAAACAATTGTAAAACAATTTCTGTGGATCAGGAATCAGGTCTGATTAGCCAGGCTCTCTAACTATAGATTTTTTTCCCCCTTCTTTGTGATGCTGGGGATTGAACACAGGGCCTCATGCTTGCTAGGCAAGTGCCCTAACACTGATATACATCTCTTCCTGGTTGTAGGACTTCGTACAATGCTTTAATCCAGATTTGGATTGTAGCCCTAGGCTGTAGCTGTCCTCATCCCAGGGATAACTGGGGGAGGATCTTCCTAGCTTGGTTGGATTCCATTCCTTTTGTGCTTTTGGACCAAGAGCCTCAGTTCCTCCCTCACTATGGGCTGAGGTCACCCTCAGTTCTTTGCCACATGGCTTCTCCACAGGGCCACTTACATCCTGTCACTGTAAGCAAATGAGTGAGCAAGAGATGGGCAAGACTACAACCAGAGCTTGTTGGTAACCCAGTCTCAGAAATGACGACCTATTATTTGAGGCTGTCGGCATTCATTGTAATTTTAACGTGCATTTCCCTTATGACTGCTGATGTTGAACTTATTTTTTTTGTTCTAATTTTTTTTTAATTTTGCCTAATTAGTTATGCATGACAGTAGAATGCATTTTGACACACTATACACAAATGGAGTAAAATGTCTCATTCCTCTGGCTATACATGGTGTATAATTACCTGTCAGGTAATTATGACATGTAATAGGGTAATAATGTCTGTCTCATTCTACCATTCTTCCCACCCGCACAACCCCTCCCTTACCCTCACTACCCTCTGCCCAATCCAAGTTTCCTCTATTCTTCCCTACTCCCCCGCCGTTATGGATCAGCATCCATTTATCAGAGAAAACCTTCAGCCTTTGGTGTTTGGGGTTTGGCTTATTTTGCGTAGCCTGATATTCTCCAGCTCCACCCATTTACCTGCAAATGTCATAATTTCTTTCTTTAAGGCTGAGTAATATTCCATTGTCTATGTATACCAAAGTTTCTTTATCTATTTGTCTATTGAAGGGAACCTAGGTTGGTTCCATAGTTTAACTATTGTGAGTTGAGCTGCTATAAACATTGATGTGTCTGTGTCACTGTAGGATGGTGATTTTAAGTCCTTTGGGTGTAAACCGAGGAGTGGGATAGCTGGGTCAAATGGTGGTTCCATTCCAAGTTTTCTGATGAATCTCCATACTGCTTTCCTGAGTGGTTGCACCAATTTGCAGTGCCACCAGCAATGTATGAGTGTGCCTTTCCACTACATCCTCACCAACACTTATTATTGCTTGTAGTCTTGATAATTGCCATTCTGACTGAAATGAGATGAAATCTTAGAGAAGTTTTGATTTGCATTTCTCTAATTGCTAGAGATGTTGAACATTTTTTCATATATTTGTTGCTTAATTGTATTTCTTCTTCTGTGAAGTGTCTGTTCAATTGACTGGGTTATTTGTTTTTTTCATGTTAAGTTTTTTGGGTTCTTTTTATATCCTGGAGACTAATGCTCTATCTGAGGTGCATGTGGTTAAGATTTTTTTTTCCCATTCTGTAGGCTCTCCATGTTATTAATTGTCTCCTTTGTTGAGAAGAAGCTTTTTAGTTTGAATCCATCCCATTTACTGATTCTTGAGTTTACTTTTTGCACTTTGGGAGTCTTGTTAAGGAATTCAGTGCCTTAGATGATATGGTGGAGATTTGGGCCTACTTTTTCTTCTATTAGGCTCAGGGTCTCGGTTCTAGTGCCAGAGTTTTGATGCACTTTGAGTTGATTTTTGTGCAGGGTGAGAAGGGTTTAATTTCATTTTGCTACAAATGGATTTCCAGATTTCCTAGCACCATTTGTTGAAGAGGCTATCCTTTCTCCAGTGTATGTTTTTGGTGCCTTTGTCTAGTATGAGATAACTGTATTTATGTGGGTTTGTCTCTGTGTCTTCTATTCTAAAGACTATGCCGTTTGTCTTGATGTGTACCATTGGTCTACATGTCTATTTTGCTGTCAATACCATGCCATTTTTGTTTCTATTGCTCTGTAGAATAATTTAAGGTCTGGTATTGTGATGCCTCCTGCTTCACTCTTCTTGCTGAGGATTGTTTTGGCTATTCTGGGTCTCTTATTTTTCCAAACGAATTTCATGATTGCTTTCTCTAGTTCTATGAAAAATGTCATTGGGATTTTTTTAAACAAATACAACTTTTTAATATACCTTTATTTTATTTATTCATTTTTATGTGGTGCCAAGGATTGAACCCAGTGCCTCACACATGCTAGGCAAGCTCTACCACTGAGCCACAACCCCAGCCCCATCATTGAGATTTTAATAGGAATGCATTAAATCTGTATAATGTTTTTGATAGTGTGGCCATTTTAACAATATTAATTCTATCCCAAAACATGGAAGATCTTTTAATTTTCTAAGGTCTTCTTCAATTTCTGTCTTTAGTGTTCCACAGTTTTCATTGCAGAGGTCTTTCCCCTCTTTTGTTAGTTGATTCCCAAGTACATTTTTTTGAGGCTATTGTGAATGGGGCAGTTTTCCTAATTTCTCTTGTAGTGAATTTATCTCTGATATATAGAAATTCATTTGATTTATGAGTATTGATTTTATATCCTGCTACTTTGCTGAATTCATTTATTAGATGCAGAAGTTTTCTGGTGAATTTTTTTTTTTGGATCTTCTAAATATAGAATCATGTTGTTGGCAAATAGGGATAGTTAGAGTTCTTCTTTTCCTATTTGTATCTCTTTAATTTCTTTCTTCTAATTGCTCTGGTTAGAGTTTTAAGGACTATGTTGAATAGAAGTGGTGAAAGAGGGCATCCCTGTCTTATTCCAGTCTTTAGAGAGAATGCTTTCAATTTTTCTGCATTTAGAATGATGTTGGATTTGGGTTTAGCATATATAGCTTTTACAATGTGGAGGTATGGTTCTACTATCCCTAATTTTTCTAGTGTTTTGAACATGAAAGGGTGCTATATTTTCTCAAATGCTTTTTCTGCATCTATTGAGATGATTATATGATTCTTGTCTTTAACTCTATTGATGTGATAAATTACGTTTACTAACTTCTGTATGTTGAACCAACCTTGCATCCCTGGGATGAAACCCACTTGATCATGGTGCACTGTCTTTTTAGTATGTTTTTGTATGTGATTTTCTAGAATTTTATTGAGAATTGTTGCATCGATGTTCATCAGGGATATTGGTTAGAAGTTTTCTTTCCTTGATGTGGACAAAGAGGGAACAGAAGTAGGTGGGATGTGATGTTTATGAGGGAGAAAGAGAGAAGATAGAGGTAAAAATTTATAGTGAGAGCAAAGGAGGAATTAATAGAGGTTGGCTGTTATCATGAGAGAAGTGAGAAAGAGAATACAGGGAGACAGATAAGTGAGGGAAAAATATATACAGATTTTTAAAAAAACTATAAAGTCCCCAGTCTTCAGCTTTCCACAGGTGTGCCCACGACACCCAGCTGCAATCTGATGGACCTGGGCTTCAGATTCCCTGGCTCTGCCTTCCTGCAGTCCCAAGATCTCAATGCCATTCCAACTTGCAGAAAGACCACCAGGGATGCACTCACTTAAAGGAGAGACCCTGCAAAGAGGCAGTAAGATGGTGACCGCTAGCACACCCAGCAGAAAGACCTCAGGTGCAACCAGGCCTGCGGGTACCCTAACAATAGATCTCCAGGCCCTGGCCAGTGTCCCCAACTAAGATGGCTAGGCTATGATATGGTGGTGGCAAATCTGTAGGCCCCTTGGCTCTGGACTCCCAGGCCCTGGTAGATGTCCCAAAATGGTGGTGGCTGCATGTAACCAAACCTGCAGGTACCCTGACAATGGACTTCCAGGCAGCAGTGAGCAGCGGGCCATCTGTGGTCATCAGGAGCGTAATCCGCTGGTGAATGGCAGGTGATTGAGGTGGGCAAACAGGGCAAAGAGTGGGGATCGGCAGGTAGCAACGGCTGCCTCACAGAGAAACAGTATTTCCTCTGCTTGAATCTCAAGTCACAGAGTGACAAGGTATTTTTTTTATACTTTCATTTTATTTATTTATTTTTATGTAATGCTGAAGATTGAACCCAGTACCTCGTATGTGCTAGGCAAGTGCTCTAGCCCTGAGCTACAACCCCAGCCCAATGTTGAGCTTCTATCACATGTTTATATTAACCACTTGCATATCATACCCTTGTGGATATTTATGTGCTCAAGTTTTTGCCCCTTAAAGAAATTGAGTTGTATGCCTTGTTGGTTTGTGTTCTAAAAGTTCTTTGCATATTCTGATTAGAAGTTCCTTATAAGATATTTGATGTGCAAGTTGTATTGGTTTTGTACTGCTCTAATAACAAATCTAGCACTTCAAATGCAGAGCCATATCATCTTACAGTTCCATAGGTAGAAGTCTGGTAGAGGTCTCACTGGACTAAAATCCAGCTATTGGCTGCCACACTCAGTTCTGGAAGTTCTGAGGAGGACTGCTTTCCTGATCCTTTGAGTTGTTGGTGGAATTCAGTTCCTTGCATTAAAGGACCAAGTTCCTGAGGTTCTTGCTGTGTGTAAACTGGTGGGTTCCAGACTTCCAGAAGCCACTACATCCTTGGTCCTTGGTCTCTTCTCTCATATGAAAGCTACAGCATTGCCAGCAGGTCTGGACCCTCTCATGGCATATCTCTGACTCTCCTTGGTTGTTGAATTTCTCCCATCAGAGTTGTGATTATATTTGCCCACCCAGATAACAGAGGGTGATTTCCCCTTCTCAACACCTTTAACCTTAATTCCACCTAGAAACTCCATTTTCTAGGTAAGTTTACCTGTTTACAGTTTCTAGGGATTGGGACATGGACATTTAGTGAATGGCACTATGTTCTCTACCACACTAATACTTTCTCCCACACTGTGGCTTTTCATGTCATTTTCTTAATGGTGTCCTTTGAAGTAGGAAAGTCTTTAATTTTATTTTGTTCAATTTATTGATTATATTTATTTTATAAAATAAAGTGTGCTTCTGGAGTTATATTTAAGAATTTAGTACTTAACCCAACATCATAAAGATACTACTCTGTTTCTTGCAGAAATTGTTATAATTTTAGTTATTCAATGGATTTATGATCTACTTTGATTTAGTTATATGAATGGTGCTAGGTATGATATGAGTTTAATTAATTAATCTTTTTTGCATATGGATAATCAGTGATCCCAACCATTTGTTCAAAAGACTCTCCTTTCCCCCATTGAACTTTCTTTCTGTATTGAAAATCAATTAGCCATAATTGGATTTATTGATGAGCTGTCAATTCTCTTCCATTGATATGTATGCCTACCCTTCCATTAATATCACACTGTATTCTTTTATAGGTGTTTTTTAAATAACTTTGTTTATTTTTTTAATATGGTGCTGAGGATCCAACCAAGTGCCTCACAAGGACTAGGCAAGGACTCTACCCCGGAGCCACAACCACAGCCCCTCTTTTACAGGTGTTTTAAAATTTAGTTATACTTAGTAATGGAGTTAAGATTATTTTAAACATCAGATATTAACTCAGAACTTTTTTGTTTAGATTCATTGACAGATTAATACAGAATCTATGAAAAACTTGTCCTGGCCATAAGTAAAAATAAAACATAATTTTAATGCATAAACATACTTAAATAACATAGTTGCCTCAGATCTCTTAAATTCTATTTTATATGACTAAGTTATAACATGACATAACTTAGTCATATAAAATTAGATTTTGGTTTTAGCTGTAAATGGACACAATACCTTAATTTTATTTTATTTTATTTTTTATTTTTATGTGGTACCAGGGATCAAACCCAGTGCCTCATGCATGCTAGGCAAGCATTACCACTGAGCCACAACCCTGGCCCATGAAAGAGATTTTTATGTTAGTATTCTAAATATCTTGAAGATAGTATTTACTTTGGCACTTTAAATTGAAACTGGTTATCATTGGTGTTTTTATATAATCCTAATCCCTTCATATAATATCATTTCCAAGGTTCCAATCTCATTTATTTCTTTGGATCAACTCTATAATCCTGCATATTCTTGAACAAGCCAGTTCTGAACTTGCCCAACATGGACATCATTTTCAGAGAAGCATTAATGGAGATATGGAAACAGCACCCTGGGTGCCTGACTCAGGAGACTCTTGTCTGTGCTGTCCAGGCCTTTGTGAAGTATCCCTAAGAAGTGGGCATCAAGGAGGAAAAGGAACTATTTCAGTACCTTCGGGGATCAGGGCAGGCTACAGCCCTGCAATATGCTTTCATTGCTGAAAAGAATATGAATAAGTGGTCCACTCCCTCTGAGGCCTCGTGGAAACCAGCATCAGCATGACCCCTCTCCTCAGTTGGTGTCTTGGTAAGCATATGGGGCCATTCGTGGGCTTCTCCAAATGCGTGCATGTCAAGAGCTAACATTTACTTCAGGACACCATGTATCAGGTTCTGTGCTCAACCTGTTTCTTCCATTAGCTCCAGTAATTCTCACCCAATTCATGAACTCCTTTCATTTTATGTGTGACACCTAGAGATGCTGACTTTTTCAATGCTGACCTACAGATGTGACCTTGGGTGTCTGCCTCCATACTGTGGGCACTTTTCACTCCTCCTCTAACCCTTCCCTGTACGAATCTCTCACTCCTGGGTTTCTGAAGTGATTGTAATTTGTAACAAATTTCAAGCATGGCCTTTCAATTTTTTTTTAAGAATGAAAGAGAGAGAGAGAGATAGAGAGAGAGAGAGAGAGAGAATTTTTATTTTTTTTTTTTTAGTTTTCGGTGGACACAACATCTTTGTTTGTATGTGGTGCTGAGGATCGAATCCAGGGCGCACGCATGCCAGGCAAGCGCACTACCACTTGAGACACATTCCCAGCCTGGCCTTTCAGTTTTTTCAGTTAAGTATTTGGAATCAATTCTCTCGTCTTTCTGGTCCCTGGATGCAATCATACCTCCTAGCTCAAAACCACCATCACTTTGTGGTATAGTCATTCACTGCTCCCATGTGCCCACTAGAAAGCTCTGACATCCATTTGTGTCCTTGAATCAGTCTTTTAAAATGCCACATTGCCATAGAAACTGTGGTCCAATAAGTTAGTTTCTAATTCCCCTGAAACATTCATTTTCTCCTTCACTCTCTCTGCAGGCTTGGGAACCCTGGGCCGAGGCATTGCCATTTCTTTTGCAAGGGTCAAGATCCCTGTGATGGCTATAGAATCATACCAAAAGCAGCTCAAATCTCAGAGAGGGTAACTTCCATCTTGGAAAAGGAAGCATCCAAAATGCAGTAGAATGGCCAGCCTTGGTCAGGACCAAAATTCAGGTTCAGTTCATCTATGAAGGAGCTTGCTAGAGTAGACTTATTATGAAGCAGTATTTGAGGATATGGAGCTGAAGAAACGAGTCTTTGCTGAACTGTCAGCCGTGTGCAAGCCTGAAGCATTTTTGTGCACCAATACTTCAGCCTTGGACATGGATGAGATGGCTTCTGCCACCAATCGACCACACTTGATCATTGGCACACACTTCTTCTCACCAGCTCATGTAAAGAAGTTGTTAGAGATTATTCCTAGCCAACACTCTTCCCCCACCACCATTGCCACTGTTATGAACTTAGCTAAAAAGATTAAAAAGATTGGCGTAGTAGTAGGCAACTGCCATGGCTTTGTTGGTAATCGAATGCTGGTCCCTTATTTTGACCAGACATATTTCTTGTTTGAAGAAATTAGCAAGCCAGAGGAGGTAGATCAGGTGCTGGAGGAATTTGGTTTTAAAATGGGACCCTTTCAAGGGTCTGACATTGCTGGGTTGGATGGGGATTGGAAAGTTCACCAGGATCAAGGTCTTACTGGACCCACATTGCCTCTGGTACTCCTGTCCGAAAGCGGGGTACTAGAAGATACTGCCCAATTCCTGATATGCTCTGTGAATCAGGACGCTATGGGCAGAAGACAGGGCGGGGGTGGTATCAGTATGACAAGCCATTGGGAAAGGTTCACAAACCTGATCCCTGGCTTTCCAAATTTCTGTCACAGTACAGAGAAACCCATCATATTGAACCCCGTGTCATTAGCCAGGATGAGATCCTTGAGCGCTGCTTGTATGCACTCATCAATGAAGGGTTCCGTATCTTGGGAGAAGGGATGGCTGCTGGCCCAGAGCACATTGATGTCATCTACTTGAATGGGTATGGCTGGCCAAGGCACAGGGGTGGGCCCATGTTCTATGCTTCCACAATTGGGTTGCCCACAGTTCTGGAGAAGTTGCAGAAGTACTACAGGCAGAATCCTGATATTCCCCACCTGGAGCCCAGCGACTACCTAAAAAAGCTGGCTTCCCAGGGAAACCCTCCTCTGAAAGAATGGCAAAGCTTGGCAGGGCCCCCCAGCAGTAAATTGTGATTCAGGCTGTGCCTCCCATGCTGGCATCGGGTAAATGCTACTAAATTTCAGTGAAATTGGATTTTTAAAATCCCGAATAAGATTACTCTGAAATGCAAAGCAAAGGAAATAATCGGTTAGTTAAACCTTGTCTTTGGGTCTTTTGCTTGTTCATTCTACTGGAGGAAATCTTTAGGAATATGCTTTGTATGCCTCTGAATGTATTCCTTTCAAATAAATCCCATGAATGAAGTATGTTAATATAATACCACAATAGCTGATGAGGGAGCCTTAGGAATATGTTGAGGTTCCCAAGTGCTTTGATTGTTGGAGAAATTTGTCAACAGTTAATAAATAACAATTACAGTGAGTCAAATTCATTTTGACCCTTTAGCCTCATATACTTAGTATTGATGGCAAATCCCATGGGTCATCCTTGCACACACAGTCACTGAGCACCTCCTGAGTAGGTGGCAGACCTAGAGCCCAGAGGGTGTTATAGCAGCATGGGAGCCTGTGTTGAAATTGGGTCCTTAGGTGGGATAGAGATGGTTGGCAGGGTAGAGTCAGCAGTGAGGATCTCTAGGAGGGGGACATGGAACACTGCCCAAGGACAAGCAGATTACTAGCCAGAAAGAGGCCCGGCACCAATGGAAATTGGTGAGGGCACTAAGTACTTGGGACCTAAATGGGACATCCCAGAGCAGCTTGGCAAGTCATGTTTCTGGGATGACTTCTGTCCAAGGCTCAGTTTCCTGTGCACAGCTGTTGTTGCTGCTTGCAAGGGGCTCAGCGATGTTTGTTGTTTATTCCGCAAGACACAGAGCATCCGCAACCTGGTCTTTATGGTCTTTTCTATTCAAGGAGGAGTAACAGAAAGACCAAGTTGTTAACTTAGTTTAAGAAGGGATCTTAATGAACATCCAGCCTTTAAGGATTTCTTAATTCTTCAACAGTATCACAATGCCACTTTTCCTGTCAAGACAAAAGTTTGCAAATTCACATCTGGAAGTGGTTCAATCATAAAACATCTAACATTATCTCAAAAGACAAATTTGCATCGTTTTGTTGAAACTAAGTATTTTTCTCTTGACTTTTTGCCTTGTGTGGTTAAAAGTTAAGGCACTAACAAACACAAAAACCTGTAAAAAAAATTGACAGCAGAATTACTTTTAATAGCCAAAAATTGGGTACAACCTACATGTGCATTAACTGATGACTGGATAAACAAGATGTGGTATATCCACACAGTACACTGTTATGCAGCTATAAAAAAGAATGAAGTCCTGATGTCTGCTACAAAATGATGATCCTTTAATACATTATGCTAAGTAAAAGAGCCAGTCACAAAAGACCACCAATTGTATGAACATTCATATGGAATGTCCTTTGTAGGCAAATCTCTAAAGACAGAAATCAGATTAGTTGTTGCCTAAGGTCAGAATTGTTGGTGGATATAGAAAGGAAAATGATGACTAATAGTTACAGAATTTCTTTTTGGTTTGATGACAATGTTCTAAAAGTATTGTGCTGTGGATTGTAGAACTGGGAGGAATCTTAAAATAAAACCATTGGGTTGTATAATTTCAAGAGATAAGTTGTTTTACGTGTGAATTATATCTCAATAAAGTAATTAATAAACAAAGGGTGCTGAAGTTGATGTCCTTCAGAGTGTTGTAAATAAACTGTTTCACAAAAGTTTTGCCTGTGAATCCGCATTTATCAGGAGTCCTAATCCTCCAGGTGTGGTGGTGTCAACCTGCAGTCCCTGTTAGAAGGAAGGCTGAAGTAGGGGGATTGCTTGAGCCCAAGAGTTCAAGGGCAACCTGGCAAGACCCCCATCTCAAACAAACAGGTAAGAAGTCCTGGTAGAAAAATGTCAAACAAATAAAATATAAATTTTCTGTTGTTAAAAAAGTACCAAGGACTTATATTTAATTGCAATTTAATTTTAGAGTATTTTTGAGACATATTCTATTAAATTTTATATAATTTGGGTTTTTTTTATTAAAAGCTTTCATGAGAAAGCTTTTTAAACATAACAACTTTGTCTCCAAACTGACTTGTTTTCAAGTTAATGTAGACAAAAACGCATCACATTTTCTTCTTCAAGTCTTGAGTAGATTTTGAGTTCTTAAGTCTTATTTTCTCCTTACTTTAGTCTCTAGTTTGAGGTTTTGAAACTAGAGGAACTATGAACAGGTTTTATGAGTCATTAGCCCCTGAAATTTTATGACAGTTTGTGCATATGTATCCAATTGCATTTCCCGAAAAAGTTCCCATGTATTGCATCATGTTCTCAAAAGTGTCTATGACCTAATAAAAGTTAAGGACTAATACTCTAGAAAATGGGAAGAACAAATATTCTTTTTAAATATATATATATATTCTTAGTTGTAAATGAACACAATATCTTTATTTTATTTGTTTATTTTTATGTGGTGCTGAGGATCGAACCCAATGCTTCACATGTGCTAGGCGAATGCTCTACCACTGAGCCACAACCCCAGCCTCTGTATTCTTTACATCAGAGGAAGCAAAACTAATTCTAATTTGTTGGATCTTCCCTATAGCAGTATTTAATATGATGAAGGCTTTCAGGATATCCTGTCCTGTCCTTGGAAATGCCTTGATTTAAAAGGCTGATTTGGTTGTTGCTAATCATTTTAAAACTATCTGTGAGAAAGCCATCTTTAAGGGAGAAAAAAACCTTCCTGAATGACTTTTTAACAAATGTGTTCTAATTAATCGCAGTCGATTTTATAGAGAACAGTATATTGGAAACACCCTTGAACTTGTGACTCCTGCTTTAAAGATGAGACTAATGATACATCTCAAATCAGTAAAACCATTTGGCAACTGCAGTTTGCTACAGTTCATTCATTTCCAGCAGAAGCAGGTGTATGGGAGAGATAAGTGAAGCATGTTATTTCTAGAGTAGCAACCTATAGTCCTGGAATTTCTAGAGTCTTACACTAGTCTTTAAAATAGATAGCTAGAAATCAGAAATGTTGCAGGCTCACTAGATTATCTGAACCCTTTTGGTAATCATCAGTGAGATTACTTGATGTCTCTGAATAGAGAGAGGTTTCTGCAAGAACGGTCTCTGACTGTTCTTGGGACTGTCAGTGCCACCTGCTCATCTTGTCCGTTTATGCATATTTTGAATTGAACAGACAAGTTACATGGCATCCAGGCAGGACAGCAGTATCAAACCACTCCGGGGGAGACCAGTCCTACTGGACACCAATGGGTTGTCATTCAGATGAAAAACGTGAATGCTAACCCACAGCACTGTACAATACCCAGGGTTGTCCAGGACTCTGTGAGGAGCCTTCATGTCCAAAACTCTCCTATTGGTTGCTGTGGATTTCATTCTAAACAAAAGTTGTTTGACATTGTGATGGGAAAATCTCCATTTAGATTGGGTTTCCAACAGGATCCATTTTTAGGAAGGGAAAATATCTTGTTTGTTCTTTTTAGTATTTCTTCTTTAGCACCCTGAGAGGGAATGAACAGAGCTTTCAATTCTTGTTCCAAGGATTCCAGTACATTTTCGTTATAGTGTTTATTTGTTGTCTTTTACCCATTTTAAATAGCTTGTCAGAATGAGGTCCCAAGAGCATCTTGTAAGATGATCTGAGCAGAGCTGATAGAATCTGTCTTGTGCACGTTCTCACTACGCTGAAGTTATTCCATCTTCTCTAAGCAAGTTGCTAATTCTAGCCAAAACATGATGTCTTTAGGAGAAGGTCATAACAAAACCTCTCCAACCAAATCATAAATGCACTTGGATTTCCAGAGCCAGCCAAGACCTGGAGAACCGTTGATTTGTAAATTTTGGCAGAGACCATTGGCTTCTACCCAGGATTTTACTTCTACTCTAGTAATAAATATCCCATTATTTGAGCATATAGTTGTCCAAAATACACAATATATGTGCCAATTTCTATTACATTAAATTGTGGACATGTGACTACATTCTAGACACTACATTCTAGATTTGGGGATCTCCTGTGATAGCTTTGGGAAGCTCCCTTAACAATAAGATGATGTGTATTCTTTACCCATTTCTGTTTTTGCTCTCTAATCCATCTTCATGCCTGGTACACAGATGTGATGGCTGGAGTTCCACCTGTTGTACTGGCCCATGAAGACAAAGGCCATGCCCCAAAATAGAGAGCACCAAAGAGTTTGGAACACTGAAGACTTCAGGGAGCACAGCTGTGAGTCCAAATAGCTTTCCTACAGTCATTTAGGTGAGAAAGATCCAGTGCCTATCATGGTGAGGAGGGTGTCACTGTAGGTCTTCAGTTGTAGCCTACCAGAATCTACACTAATGCAAGTGGAATCCAGGAATTAGTGGCAGGGAGTCTTTTTGTTTTTGTTTTCTTGGTGCTATAGGTAATTCTGATGCACTGGCCATTTTGAGACTTTAATCTTATGAAACAATTTCTTCCTTTAAATTTGTTTTTTTTTGTCAATTGTGTTTTTTCAACTTGATGTTAAATTGCTCATTTTAAAAAATATTATGCATATAATTCTTGTAGGCAGTTGGTGGAGCAGTCCACTATGAACCTGAGAGTAAAACTGTATCCACATTTAGTAGGAAAAAATCTCCGAGGCATACTTGAACCTCAAATTGCCCACTACACACTAAGAGAGAAAAGCACTCACAGTGAAAGTGCATTATCAGAGAGATGGTCAACAATGTCACAATGGGAAAGAAGAGCAATCGGAAAAGCAGTACCTCTTAGCCAGGACCAAAGGGGATATACCAAATCTGGGAACACCAACCTGCTCACTAGATCAGAGATCTCTAAAAGGGGGACCCCAAGGAAATGTGAAAAATGATCCAGAGAAGTGCAGGCAGAAAATATTGGAACTGCTCTTTCTACTTATTTTCATCTAAAAATACGAAACCAAACTTCACTAATGTTTTGTGTTGCCCTCACTGTGTTGCATCTTGCAAGGTCACATATCAGGAATGAGGTGTTCTGAGGGAAGACGGCAAGACTAAAGTACAGACAGATTGAGAGTGGCCACCTCCTCCTTCATCTGATTTCAGCATATGGAGAAATATTGCAAAATTATATGCGCTGGGGTGACTGGATTTCCATACAAAATTATTTAATATAACTGAACCCTCACAACAGATTCCTTGAAATAAAGAACAATTGAGGATAGATAATTCAAACAAAGGGGAACCCTGGAGGCAGTGGCCAAGCTGGCACTTCTCATCTCAGCATGTAGCTAGCTATGTTGCAAGGTAGAATGATTCAGTCAATCTGGCAAGAAATTATCCAAAAAGTCTTGATATTATCTGGACTATTAGAAATATCCATTCCTACCTACCATTCATGGTGATGTTTGTTCTAGTGTGCTATCTTGTGATATTAACTAACAATATGAAATCATCACCTATTACCAAAACATTTTAATAGATTGTTTAGTTCATCATCTCATCATTTCTAAACTTCTTTTGACAACGTTTTATCATGTGAATGTACAATTTGTAAATTAATAATCA